AGAAACTTTGAAAATGATTAATATATAGAAAATATTTATATTTATTTATTAAAGCCCATACATAAAAAAATTTCCTAAAATAAATCTAGACCACCCCTAGAAATTTGACCGTGATTAATAATAATATTTATGTTTATATTTATTTATTAAATTCCATATAAAACATTATATTCTTCCCTAAAATATATCTAAGCGGACTAAGCCTCTCAATATATAATAAAAAGTCAACACATCCATGGGCGGGAAAACTGGTCAAAGAATTCACATTTTTTTAAATAAAGTATAGATATATATAATATTTTTAATAAAAAATTTCAAACCATAATTTTTATAAGTTAGATATTGTGATATTTAATTATAATAGGGAGTATTATATTTTTGTTATGTGTATTACTACTATGTTACTACGTCTGCCCCTGAGTATTTGTCCAGTTTTAACTTTTTTCGGTCAACTATTTTCAATCTCTAACCTTTAATTAAATAAAATATGTACTTTATATTAATTAGATAATACAATTTTATGACAATATTTGATATAATAAATCTAATAAAATTATTTTTATATCAATATCTAATGTCATTTTTATTTAACTAGAAGTCAAAGTTTACTAATTTTGACCGAAAAAAGTCAAAAATAGACAAATACTCAGTGATGGAGGGAATGCTAATTATTGTTTTAAAAAAAGAGTTTATATAATTTAATTTGTTAGGACCAATGCCCATCTTATTGTCTTGCCCAAGGCTATCATATCGGATCCTCGAGACCGGCCCTGGGCTATACTAGGTAGTGACATATGGACTATATCTAATAAGAGAAAAGTGCATCGTTTGCCCTCGAAGTCTTTGAAAATTGCATAGTTTACCCTTGAACATAAAAAACTACATTGTTATCCTCAAACTTTTCTAAATTTGCACGGTTTACCTCTGAATACTAAAAAGTGCATCAAATACGCTTGAACAATTTAAAACATTGCACCTTTGGTCATAAAATGCTAGATAGGGAGTCCATTGCTCCCACGGACGGGAATTACGAGTATGATTTATTTGTCCTTTGTGAATTCTCCAAAATGTCCTTCTACAAAATTATCAACTTTATTTGTAAATTTTGGAATAAACCATACAATTTCGGAAGAGTTTATGGGTGTGCATGTTTTAATGTTCAGAGATAAACCATGCAATTTTTGAAAAATTCGGCGGTGAACGGTGCTTTTTTCTCTATATAATAAGTTCCCTTTTTATATATTACAAATATTTCTTTTAAATATCACATATCCAAGAAATCTTATCTATTTTTGTTTTTTGCATACAAGAAAAATCTAGTACTACCTTCGTTTCTCAAAAGAGTTCCTCTTTTGACTCTGGGGGAAAATAAGGAAGTGTTAAATTCTAGTTGACTTTCCAATTTTGCCCTTGATGTGATGGGTAAAAGTAAGATGTGATAGTTTAGTTGTTAGTGAAAAAATATAATGTGATAGGTAGGGTATGAAAAAGTAGGGGTAAAAGTGGTTTTTTAATAGAAAGGGGAAGTGTTTTAAGAAAAACAAAAAAAATGAAAGAGGAAGGATTTTAAGAAACGGAGGGAGTATATTCTTGAATAAATAACAAAAAAAACAAATATTGTAAACTCAAACAAAAATGCTGCGCTATGCTCAAAACTTTCCGTACAAAAGTTATGGCGATGTATAAATACGGTGTAACCTCTTTTTGTCGCTTGCTGTATGCCCATCTCAGCTCACAACTCTTTCCCAACTGTTTGGATATATCTAATCATATTGTTCATATATAGAGTTGTGATCTCGTTTGCAAATTAATGTTAAAAATGCTAACGCTAATATTAGACAATCTATTCAAAACACTAATGTTAATCTCTGACGCTGATACCAAACGAGATCATAATGACCGACGACTTTACATACTTGTCAAGGATTCAAGAAGATCAGAATTATTCTTTTCGTCTCAAAGAAACACTTGATATTATTTTTCAATGATTGATTAAAATTATTTTTTAGGTCAATTTATTAAGAAATTTTGTACTCCGTACTAAATTTAAAATTTTTAAATTTAGCTGCTAAAAAAGGAAATTCAAATTTTACAAAATTTGAACTGTGTGACTATAATATTTTATCGAACAGGTAAAAAATAGATGCAAATATAACATTTTCAAAACATTAAACTATTCGGCACATTAGATTATACGGAGTAGATTTATTATGGTATACGAAATAAACAGTATATCCATGGGTGGCCCGGAGGGTGTGCAAAGTGGCCAACCGCACAAGATCTCTAAAATTTTAGGGCCTCATATTTTTCGATCACGTCTCCTCTCACAATGGTAGTCCACTAAAATGTGTGCCAAAAAAATATTTTTATTACGAGTATATCATTTTTAATAATTTCCGTTAAGCTAATATATTGTACTCCCTCGTCCCAGAGTATTTGTCCACTTTCATTTTTACACACCATCCAATGCACTTCTTTAATCCATTTTATCTTGTAATTTGTATATTAAAAAATTATAGAAATTATATATTAATAATCTATATGTTAAGACAAATCAAACAAGATCACACATGACTATATTTAGGCTTACACATTGAGAGAATTTGATTAATCAAAGTGCTTAGATGAACAGTTCTAAAAGTTAAAAGTGGACAAAAACTGAGGGACAGAGGTCAGGGGGAGTATTAAAAGAATTAAATACAGTATTTGATAGAGAAAGCAAACTAAACAATTAAAAAGGGGAGAAGAAATATTTCTTTTGTTGAATCGGACCAAGATGATTTATTAGTAGCCCAACCGCAACGCGCTCTTAATTGATTGAGATTATAAGATTGAACACATACTACACTGATAGTTAAGGGAGGTACGAAAAAAATTGGAGTAGAGTTGGGAGAATGTATGTATATCGACATATCTTAATGGAGTCCCTCATCTCTTCATTCTTGTTTAGATATTTTTTGAGTGTTGTTGACTTGATTACGCAGTAATATACTCCCCCCATCCTAAAACTATCTTTCCAGTTACTATTCACACGGTCAAACTTAAATCACTTTCTTTACCTATTTTCGCTACTTATTTGATAAAATAATATAGTCTTGTCACCTCTTGTTTTATAGAACTTTTAGTGTAGTTTTTAAATATGTAATTTTTTTTAATTTTACACCTATAATCAAATAAATTAAATTGAAAATAAAGTCGGTCAAACTTCGTAAACACAAACGGGAAGATGATTTTAGGACGGAGGGAGTATGTTCATTGTTGAAATTTTTTTGAGTGCTATTGACTTGACTACAACATAATATATATTCATACTTTCTAAACCTATTGATGCACATTTATAGATATTTAAATGAGACTAAAATATAGTTGTTAGAATATAAAAAATCTTTACTGTGCCACAAAGCCCACAATCACAAGCTTGGACTTTTGGTTGAATTGGTTTCTTGACATGGTATCAGAGCCTTGTTGACTAAGAGGTCACGAGTTTGAAACTCAACGCTATCCAATTTTAAAAAATTTAAAGTTTCACGCGCAAGTCTAAAAAAGGACTACACCTGCACATGAAGCTAAGACGTGTTAGAATATACTCCCTCCGTCCCTAAATAAATTTCCCTTTTTGACTTTTTGAGGATTTAAGGGAGAGATATTTTTGTGTTGACTTTCCAAAAATACCCTTGATGTGATTTGTAAAAGTAAGATGTGATATGTAGATTATTAGTAAAAAGGTATGATGTAATAGGTAGGGTATGAAAAAGTAAGGGGTAAAAGAGGTTTTTTAAGGGAAAAGAGAAGTTTATTTGGGGACAAAAAAAACGGAAGGAGAAGTTTATTTAAGGGAGAAAGACCAAAGTAGGACTAAAACATTGAAAATATACTAAAATAGGACTTCCATATTTTTATTCCCAAAATAGGACTTAAAATGCATTTAAATTACCAAACATGGTCATGTACATTACCAAAAAGTATAGTAATGTGCACATGTACAGTGTCACATTACACTGTCACATTACCATATATAGTGCGAAGTCTTATTTCGGGAAAAAAACATTAAAGTCCTATTTTGGTACTTTTCTCTATGTTTTAGTCCTATTTAGGGTGATTTCTAATTATTTAAAGACGGAGGGAGTAAAAAACTTTTTCTGCGTCACAATCACAAGCTTAAATTTTTGGTTGAATTGGTTGCTTGACAATACTTTGTATGGGTATATTAATACTTCCTCTATCATATAAACCTTTTCAAAGACAAAAAAAGACACATCTTAAAAATATGTAATTTTGATATTATTTTTTTAAAGATGGCTCATCTATCTTATAAATCACATCCTAACTTATTATAAAGTAAGATCAAAATTAGAAAATAAAAATATCAAAATTACTTATTTTTAGGGTGTGCTTTTATTGATTTTTGAAATGTTTTATGGGACGGAAAAAGTATATGATTTCTTATGTTTTTATTAAAATAGAACATGGAATATCAAATAATATTAAAATATAACGTTTAAAAAAAATTATGAATTAAATATCAATATAGAGTATCAAATTGCAAACGCTTCATAATGTCAACTCTTATTTTTACAATAAAATATAATACTACACAGATTCTATTTTCGTATAAGTTTTCCATGTTTTAACATTATTTACATACTTTTGTTTTCTTTTTTTAAATACTTGTTTCATTTTCCGTGTCAAATTTTTATTTTTACCAACAATAACTCTTAAAATATTTTAGCAAACACTATATATAAAAAGTTAATACTCCGAAATATATTAGTCAAAAGTTTTTTTTCCAATACATAAATATATATTGTATATATGGTGTAATTTTAAATACTCAAAATAATTTTGATTTAGCAAATGTTTTTTTAAAAGAACAGAGGATGTATAATTTTGAGTTTTATAATTTTTTTTATATTTTAATTTTAATTTAAAATAATTTATGTGTATGGTTTGTTACGTTTTGCATTACGCAATGCTAAGGATAAAACCATGATAGCCATAGAGCAATTTTTCCCCATTATATATACCCCATGCACTCCTTTGCCAATTCTTCATTACAAAAAACAAAGATTTACAAAAACAAAAGGTTTGCTTTCCACGTTAAAAAACAATATGGAATATTTAAGGAAAACAAGTCATTATGTTCTTGTGCTACTCTTCACGTTCTTAGCTTTAGGGGCCGAAGCGGCTCGGAACCTCCGAGATGACGGCGGCTGGATAACGGTGAGCGGCGGCCACTTCGAGCTCAACGGCTCTCCTTATCTCTTCAACGGCTTCAACTCCTACTGGATGATGCACGTCGCGTCTGACGTGGGAGAGAGGAACAAAGTCACCGAGGTTCTGCGCGAAGCCTCGGCGGCTGGCCTCTCCGTCTGTCGCACCTGGGCTTTCAGTGACGGGAACCGCTACAACGCCCTCCAAACGTCCCCTGGCGTCTACGATGAACGCGTTTTTCAGGTTTTTAATTTCATACTCTCTCCCTCTCTCGATCTGTCTCTATAAAAAAAATCTTTGAATTTTTTCCGTTAACTGTAACGCCTGTACACCCTTTGACCAAGAAAGTCAAAGAAGGAAGATCATATATATATATATATATATATATATATAGGAGTTATATGTGTAAATATATTATAGCATGGCATGCATGGACATATATTAATTGAACAAATATATATGGGCATGAATTTGCAAATAGGGGCTTGATTTTGTGTTAACGGAGGCAAGAAAATATGGGGTCCGTTTGATCCTAAGTTTGGTGAACAATTATAACGATTTTGGAGGAAAAGCACAATATACGGAGTGGGCAAAGAATAACGGAACGGAGATCCACAGTGACGACGATTTCTACACTAATCCTGTGCCCAAAGAGTATTACAAGAACCATGTTAAGGTAATTAGTTTTAAATAAAAATACTCCCTAATAACAACAAAAACTTGCCTTTAATTAATTAACTGACTAATTAATTTGCACTTTTGGTAAATAATTTGCAGAGAGTTATAACAAGAGTCAACACCATCACTGGGATCGCGTATATGGACGACCCAACCATCATGGCATGGGAGCTCATGAACGAGCCTCGATGCGCCACGGATTACTCTGGGAAGACCGTAAACGTGAGCCTCTATCGTATATGTTACAACCGACTGCTATGACTTTTATGATATACTATACATTAAAAGTTAGAAATATTTGTACGAAACAACACTAAAACTTAAGTCATTTTCCTAAATAGCATTTAATACGTCAATACATCAGTACGTCACGTGTGTGTGTGTGTGTGTGTGTGTGTATCTAAACTCTCGGTCGGGGGGGTGGTGGTGCAGGATTGGGTGGAAGAGATGGCGGGGTACGTGAAATCGCTAGACAAGAAGCACTTGTTGGAGATAGGAATGGAAGGTTTCTATGGAGAGAGCAAGCCAGAGAGACAGGAATACAATCCCGGGTATAGTGTTGGCACAGATTACATCACCAACCATATGGTCCAAGACATAGATTTTGCCACCATCCATGCCTACACCGACCAATGGTAATTAAATTCCCTACTCGAAACGTACACATTTTAAATGTTTTTTCTGCGTCAAAAGCTATAAGTCTGAGTTTTTGATTGAGTTGATATTTTCGACACATATAACAAATGTGGAGTATAATATATATATATATAGTGTATATATGGATTTTTATTTGGATAGGGGGGGTGTTTAATTTTCTGTTATGGGAGTTTTCTTTGGTCAAAGGTGATTTGTGTTTAGAAAAGTATTGCGGCGTACGTGTTCTATATGCGTGAGAGATATGATGTTTATCGAAAAATATATCATTATCAATTATCATCACGCAATTTAATTCACGTTATACTCTTATTAATGTGTTGTGACGATCTTGTTTGGATATAGCGTCAGAGATTATCATTTTAAATAAAGTTTTAATGTTGCAGATTACATTGAAAGTTCTAACGCTAAACGCTGCTCGTAGATAGCTTTTTCAAAATTCTAACGCTATTCCGAAAAAACCATCACATGTTTTTTGACCGCGCAAAACAAAATTCTCCCATCCTACAAAAATATTCATATTTGATAAAATTGGTTGTTAGTTTCTCATTTTATGATAGAGTAAAATATAATCTTATAAATATATATCAATATTAATAAATATGATGTGATGACATGTGTAATAATATTAATATAGATAAATAAATAGGAATATACGGAGTATTAACTAAAAGACGATAAAAAAATTGAGACCGATAAAAAAGGAAAATAAAATTAAAATAAATATTATCCTTATCTTAAATACTCCCTCCGTTCCACAAAACCCTCTCTCTTTTGTTTATTTTGCTTTCCACAAAACACTTCCACTTTCTACTAAAAAACCACTTTTACCCCTACTTTTTCATACCCTACCTATCACATCATACTTTTTCACTAATAACCAAACTATCACATCTTACTTTTTCTCATCACATCAGGGGCAAAATTGGAAAGTTAACCAAAATTACACTTTCCTTATTTTTCCCAAAAGTCAAAACCGGAAGGGTTTTGTGGAACGGAGAGAGTACTAACTTTATCAAATGAGGGAAATTTTTTGAAGACAAAAAGAGCCTACTCCCTCCCTGCCGAAATAAATTACAACTTTTTTCTTTTCTTCTCTCTCGATAATTTTTGTTTATTTATGTCTTTTAGTTGACTACTTAATGAAATAAATAATTCTTGTCAACTCTCGTTTTGTAAAACTTCTGATGTAATTATGTAATAATTTATAAATAAAATAATTTCAAAAGATGAGAGATTTTACCTCGTAATTCCCACTTTGTACTCCGTATCAAATTAGGGAGAGATAGAAGTATGTTATTATACGTATAGAGTTGGAATAGAGGTAGTCTCAATGAAATAGATGAGGCCAATAAAGACGAGTCTAAGTGTCTACTATTCCATTATTTATATATGGGGGCCTAATTCAAAGATTCTTTTTACTTTTCCATTGTACTCACTCCGTTCTCAAAAATATTTTCTCTTTCATTTTTTCCATTTCCAACAAAACACTTCCCCTTTCTATTAAAAAACCACTTTTACTCTTACTTTTTCCTACCCTACCTATCACATCATACTTTTTCTCTAATAATCTATCCATCACATCTTACTTTACCCATCACATCAGAGGCAAAATTGAAAATCAACTATAATTTAACACTTCCTTATTTTTGCCCCCAAATCAAATGGGAAGGGTTTTTTAAAACGGAGGGAGTATATGGCTTGTTTGAAAAGTAAAATTAATGTTTTTCAAACTATAGAGCTTTAGGAAAAAAATACCTCCCCTCACACAAGTTATGGTCTTTATTTTCGTTAAGCATCTTTTTCAGTAGATACACAAAAATTATACGAACAAATACTAAATTATAATAAAATTAAATAATACGGAGTAATATATAAAAAAATATTAATTATGTTTAACTATTTAATGATTAATTGCATGCCATGCAGGGAATCAGGGAAGAGTGATGAGGAACAGATGGCATTCATGGTCCGGTGGATCTCAAGCCATTGGCAAGACGCAGAGAATATACTAAAGAAGCCATTGGTCCTAGCTGAGTTCGGCAAGTCGAGTCACGACCCTGGCTACACCCTGACTGCCCGCGACACCTTCATAACCAACGTGTACCGCGACGCATACAACTTGGCCCACACGGGTGGGACCATGGCTGGGGCCATGATCTGGCAACTCATGGCTGAGGGCATGGAGGGATGGGACGATGGCTACTCCATCGTCCTGGCTGATTACCCATCCACTGCTCGCATCATTGCTGGCCAGTCTTATGTTATGGCCAGCTTGTCTCAACACCTCTTCAGTCGCCCCCGCCCTCATCCCTTCGGTCACGCCTACGACTGCATCACCCACCCACGCCCTATTCTCCGCCTCCCTCACAGCTCTCATCGTCATCAAGGAAGAGCGGAAGCATGATGATCGTAACCATTTTTACCTCCTTTTCCGACGAGCGCTTTTGACGTGACCCTCGACCCAGGGTCACGTACAATAAATAACTAATAAGCCTACTATACGTAGTTATAAATACTATAAGTTCTGGTATAAACAGTACGGACTATGTAACTCTTTCTTTATGTTCTTTTATAATACTCGTTGTACACTTCACATTGAATAAAACCTTATATTTAATCATCGTATCAACTTTCTTTTGAACATCATTCTAAGTCTTAGATTTGATATCATCATGTACTTAGAATGACGATATTCCGGCCTAAAATCAATCAACAATATGAAGAGTAATTCGTATTCTTATATATCAATCTTTTTTAGATTGGTGTTGGACGATGTTGCATATGTTATACTTTCTCTGTCTCAATAAATTTTTCACAGACAAAAAAAAAACCGCAGCTTAAAAATGGGTAGTTTATATACTCCCTCCGTCCATGTATAATCTTCCCATTACGCGTTACGAGGTTTGACCGACTTTATTTTCAATTCAATTTAATTGATTATAGGAGTAAAATTTTAAAATAAAATTTATATAGTAATAAACTACATGAAAAGTTCTACAAAACTAGAAGTGACAAGACTATATTATTTTATGAAATGACTAGTAAAATTGAGCAAACAAAGTGAGTAAAGTTTGACCCTGTGAATAGTGTCTGGGAAGATCTATGGTGGACAGAGGGAGTATTACTTTTTATTTTTTCCCTTATACTTTATTATAAGGTAAGACATGATGTGTAGGATAGATGAGTATAACGCTAAATTCAAACCATACGTGTCAAAATAACTGTATAGAATTGAGGTTGGGTTTGAACAAATAAATGAAGTTTTTCTTATTTATATATAAATAGAGATGTTAGCGATCAAAATATTACAATAGATAACATGAAAAGTGAAATGAAAAGTTAATTTTAAGAAGGGAGGGAGTAACATTTAAGAAGAAGCAAGTATTAGTCTACCTTAATATAATCAAAATTGGCTCCAAAACTTGAGAAATGTTGAATTAGTTAAAAACATGGGAAATTTACGTAAATAGCACTAAAACATAATGTCTTTCCTTAAATAGAATCACATTTAATTTTTTCCCAATGTAGTACTTTTAGTCATTATCCACTAGTCATTATTCAAGTAAATACTTGCCATTACTGGACATTATAGACATTATTAAGTGATATTTAGAGAATAAAACAATTTAAATGCTATTTAAGGAAATAACTTAAATTTTAGTACTATTTAGTGCAAATATTTCTAAAAACATTCTTCCGGAATAGACAAGGCGGGCAATAAGTTAGTTAGGGCGGTTGGACACGGCGACGACACAATAAGTTAGTTAGGGCTTTAGGTTATTATTATGAACCAAGGCCATGTTTATCTCCTACGTACTTGTCATCTACACACGCTTGCGTAATTAATCTTCTTCTCATCTCTGTCTCTCTCTCTCTCTCTCAAAAACCATCACTCTTTCTTTCATCAACCTCTTAAAACAAATTAGGACTACACCAAATTTATAATAAAATTTACATTAAATATCGCTAAAATATACTCCCTCCGTCCCAAAAAGTTTGTTACGTTTAAAAAAAACTGCGTCTCGTAAAGTCCGTTACATTTCTATTAAAAAACCATTTTTACCCCTTACTTTTTCATACTCTACCTATCACATCATACCTTTTTTCTAACAATCTACCCATCACATCCTACTTTTACCCATCATATCAATGGTATTTTTGGAAAGTCAATACCAAAATATCTCTCCCTTAATTTCCCAAAAAGTCAAACTGTCTCATTCTTTTTGGGACGGAGGGAGTATGTTCTTTCTCAATGTAGCAGTTAAACCTTAGCTTTTAATTCCACTAATGAATTTAGGATTGGGTGTGGATTAATTACTGGATTGGGCAATAAGACACTTGGGATGAACCGCATCAAAAGATTGAATCCAATCGATTAGTTAGTTCAACTCAAGACACAACTAGAGTATGTTGATTTAGTGTGGGGCAAAAACCTTCACAAAAAGGTAAAAACCGCCACAAAAGGAAGCTTTGCGTCGAACTTGTGTCGGAATCGAGGTCGTGGCTAATCTGCTCGATGCTAATATAACAATAATAATATACATTGCATAAGAGCCACACATTTTGTAAGGGGGCTTACGGCGAGGTTGGGGTGGGGGTAGGGTTATATGGGTAGGTAGCATCAATTTTACGAACAGAGCACTGAAGATGTTCTAAAAACGCAGTGGCACTGGAATGACACCGTTCTCCGGTGTCACTAGAATCAGGCCGTCCGATTATAATAACTTGCGCATGCGTACAAAACAGCCCAACGTAAGCGTAGAACCAATAAATTTGTTAGGGCGGTTAGCCACTCCCAAGCTACTCCGTACTAAATGTCTCCGTCATGCTTAGACACCATCATGGGCCCGAGTCTTGGCCCAACCCACAAAGTAGCTTTGGGTTTTGAATCTTTTAAGTACGGAACGAGCAAACTTGCTTAAATTAGGAACCCACAAAGTTAAAGACCGTGTTATGTGTCAAGCCCATGGACCTGCTGAACCCAATCTAATAATAATTGTCATAATAATTATAGTAGTAATAATAATAATATGATCAACAACCACAATTCGAATAATTATTATAATTATAATTATATTAACAATGTATTTATCGTGTTGCATTTCTTGGATAATGTATTTATCATAGTTATTTTTTCAATTATCTAATATATTGAGATCCTATGTATTATTTTTGAAATATTTGAATGTGGGTCGAGCTGGCCTGAAGCCCACGGGTGCCCGTACAGGAATCGCTTGGGCTTTACTGACCTAAAAAGTTCTCGTAAAATAGCGTCTTGACCTGACTTGAAACCCAACGACCGAGAGCATACATACATTTTACGTTAAAGAACATGTGTAGCGAAAAAAAAACATACATAATTTTTTGCACAATTTTATGTTTGCATAGTAAAAATTATTAAATATCACGAAGATTGACATCTATTTTTAAAATAGTCTACCTTTAAAACAAATCATGATAAAGAAAACAAAAATGTAACATTTAATAAAAAAAATTAATTAAATCAATGTAAAATTAAACATGAGAAAAATTTAATGTTTATTATCTTTGTCCTAATTCAATATTTAATTTACTTGCAAATTGGTGTGAAATTAAAAAAATTACATTGTATATATTTAAAAACTATACACAATTTCACTCCGTACAAAACAACGGTATAAATATGTCTAGCCGGAGCACAAAACAAAGGTGACTGCAAGATTGTTAATCATTTTAAATAAATTCCGATTGTAGTCGCTGGGCTTAGAGCTTGTCCTCTTAATTTGTTCTTATTACTTATTCTCGTTGGAATTATATCAAATTAGATCAAACCTCATATTATTTCAATGATATTGGAACCAATTAGATTAGATGAAAAGAATAACCCCTTAGTCAATTAGAGAAATATAGAATAACGTGGATTACTAATATCCGGGAAGAAAAATGGCCTATCACTTATATGTCAATTGTGATGCCAAACTTCTGCTAACAGAATGTCAATTTTTTTTATTGTGATTTGCTTATTAAGGAGATTACAACTAGGATAATGAGTGGAAAGGCTAGGAGATTACACCCCCCTCCGGTCATTTTCCGGCCATTTTCCGGCGAAGAGGGGGCATTGATGCATAATTTCTAAACCATAGGGGATATTCGTGCTTATTTCTTATTTTCGTTTATTATTCTTCCTTTTTAAAAAATATTTTCTATATCTTTTTCTTTTTCCTAGATTTTTTTAAAAAAATATTTTCAATTTTTTATAATGTTTAAAAAATTTTAAAATTTTATGTTTGAAATAAAAATAAAAATAAAAAAATTAACATACATTAAATCTATCTCAAATTAAACATTATCACGTTTTGTTGTTTAGAATAATTTTTTGGAAAGTTAAAAAAACCCAGAATAAAAAAAAATATGGAAAAACGAAATGAAAAGTATTTAAAAAACGCAAAAAAAGTCTTATACAAAAAAAATTAGGCACGTCTAAAAAAGTCCTTAGAATTAATATGTCCAAAAAGGATATTCATTTTTATTTTTATATTATTTTGTTTCTTATTTTATTCCTCATTTTCTTGAAGTTTTCAAACAAAATTACTTTTTTCAGAAAAAACAAAAATTATTAATTTGAGACATACATATGCATTATATGTTAATTTTTTCTAATAAAAGTAACTTTAAAGTTTAAGAAACATTATAAAAATATTTTTAAAAAAACTTTTATTAATAAATGAAACAAAAAAGTAAAAAATGGAAAAAGGAAAAAATATGGAAGAAATAAAAATCAGCATTGATACCCCCTATGGTTTAAAAAACATGCACCAATGCCCCCCTCTTCGCCAGAAAAATGGCCGGAAAATGATCGGAGGGGGCTCGAGTGCAGCATTTTGAAACCACAGGGACTTTAGAAATGAGTTTTGAAAACAGAGGGGGTACCGGCGCTATTTGGCCATTGATTGGGACTATCATCTTTTGGTCAAGAATATTTGTCATTCTAGTTAAAACACAATGACTATTGTGTGGTTTTCAAATGAAAATATACATACTTTGTAATGTGCATGTTTTAAATAAGAGTAAATTCCATAAAAGCTAAGGTCCCCAGTTATATGTCGTTTGTTAACGTTTTTGTTAAGAACATGGATAAAATTGTGTATTTATATTTCTCTTTCTTCTCAATTAAGCTTCCTCTCTCATCTCGTACACTTTCTCAAACTCGTCGCTGAGTTTGAAGCGCTAAACCCAAAACTGAAATGATCATTCCTCTCTCAATTATTAGTTTTCCTGGTGGAACCTAAAACCAAAACCAATAAGCTTTATGGATGAGTTTTATTGGTTAGTCTCAAGAAATTGCAAAGAAATAAACAATAAAACTCATCCATGAAGGTTACTAGTTTCGAATTTGGCTTCCACCCGTTAGACAAACAATTGAGAGAAGAGAGATTATTTCGGTTTTGGGTTCAAAGCTTCAAACTCAATGACGGGTTTGGGAAAGGAGTGCGAGAGTTGGGAGGAAGCTTAATTGAAGAGAGAAGAGAGTGTGAATCTACAATTTTATCCACGTTTTTAACGGAAATGTTAACAAAAGACCATTCGTGGAGTATAATAATTGGGAACTAAATTTGTAATATTTGATATGTAGGGACTA